TGCTTTTCTTTTGTGTTTCTCTCTTAATATTGCACTTTAAATTCTAGAACAAACTGTGGAAATATGGACCTTTTGCTCTTTAGGAACATACATGTGCCTTTCCGTCCCTTGAAAAGGGAAATTTAGTTGTCTTGAAGTCTGATAATTAGTCCTGGGAGGTGCATTCATGTGAACTGTAACCTGTGAGGACAGAAATGGACTGAATGTACATGATATAACTCTGAAGTTTCAAACTGTGCATGACTGTAATCTTATCTATAGCATGCTGGAGATGAAAAGGCGACTTTAACCAGTACACTGACACTCTGATGGATGTGTTATGCCAGTGTGAGCATGGGTATTTTAATGAGATCAAAGCAGCAGAACAGCTGGAAAGAAGTCACAGTACACGGCCTGTCATGTTTCATAAAAAATAAAATAAAATTCCTGTCCATTCTGAGTCTGCCTGTCTGTCCCGAGTCTGCCTGAGTATCTGGATTAGTGTTTCCGTGCCCGTCCAGCCTGCCAAACCCAAGCGCCCAAGGATGCCACTTCCGCCTGCCTGAGCTCTCTCTCAGTCACACCCCTGCAGGTGTAGTGGCAGAGGAGCCACGAGGTGGCTGGCGCACAGAAACTGTGCCACTCTGCCAGCTGTGCTGACCTCAGGTATGTACTACCGGCTGTCTTGTGCAGGAGATCCGAAGTAATACCAATGCTATTTTCTTTTTTTTTTCAGCCCAAGCCATGACAAGACCTTGCATGACTTAAACCCACCGCAATCCAAGGCGAAGCCATCTGACACTGCAGCTAAAACCACCACAAAGCCACACCCGGAGAGGTGAAAAATGCAGATCTGCTGTTGCTGCCCTGCGGCTTCAGGCCAGACATTTAGGGAAGGAGTAGGAGGAGAGAAAGGGATGGTGAAAGAAGGGATAGAAGAGTGTGGTCTCAGTAAAGCGCAGGGCTTCTCACAGGGTGGATGTGTTTGTTTTTCTGACAGCTCCCAGGCTCCAGCTGACAGACACTGGAAAAGTAACTGGGGAAAAAAATGTGCAGGCAGGAGTGATGAGAGAAAGAGAAGAAGAAGAAGAAGAAGAAAAAAAAAAGGGGGGGGGGGATCTGGGATAGCTACCTAATTAAATGCAGGGGGAATTTAGAAATTTTTTTTAGGGATAGTTCTGCTCTGCACCCTGCAGCTGATTTCAAGTCTCCAATACTGGGACACACAGACTGCGAGGCTTTTTGGGGCTGTCAGGGGACTGGGAGGGTTACGGGATGAGAGGATGGGGGTGGGTGGGATGGAGACAGAAGGGCCTGCCCAGAAAAACACCAGGGGCAGGAAATACAGTTTTTATGGCCGTTTTCACACACGCTGCGCTCGATTTGCGCACGCGAGTTTCAGCAGAACAGAAGATGGGAGGAAAACACAAGGAGCAGGAAAATAAACACTACAGGGGTGTGAACACAGAGACACGCGGGCAAACTGTCGTTGCTGTTTCGACCTTCGGGGTTTATATTTAGGGAAATCGATTAAAACACAGAATAACGTGACATTTCTTCATGTTCAAAGACGAATATGTGACGTGTGTGAGCTCCTTGGTTATAGTGAACCAGCTGCCCCCGCGTGCGCCATCGAAATCAAAACAAACTGTGTCGTCACACTCCAACAGCTGCCTCGGTCTCTATGCGAGCGCGCAAGCGGAGAAGCGGCAGGTGGAGGCGCGTAAAATAAAAAAGAGAAACATCAATAAATAAGGGAGGGGGCTGTCTGTTTACCTGCCTGGTGAAGAGGATGGCGGCGTCGTGGTGGTGCTGGTGGTCGTCGTCCAGTGGGTTCTGCTGGTTCTGCCACTTGCAGAAGCTCTTGAGCGTCGCCGCCGCGTTCTTGGTCACCTCCAATCCCTTCTCCTTGTCGGTCACCGCGGTCACTTTGACCACCGACAGCCGGATGGGGTTCTCGATGCTGGCGTGCCCGTACAGCTTAGAGGCGATGGAGGCCAACGTGAGCAAGTAGTGGTTCAAGTCCTTTCCATACTTCTTAGTCATGGTCTCGTCCGCCACCAGGAGCAGCTCCACGTACCTGGCGCGAGACACCGACCTCCTGCGCCGTGCGCCCGGCTCCGGGGAGGGTGCCGTGGCGAGCCGGCTCCACCATCTCCGCCCGCGCTCATCTTCGGCTTCCAAAGCGAGCCCCTCGCGTTCCCGTCTACCCTTCCCGCGACCTCTGCGCCGGCGTTTGCGTTTCTTGCGCCCGTCGCGCGTCCCGCAGCTCTCGCGGCCCTCGCTCATCTCCTCGAAGCTGAAACTTTCGCGCGTGAACACGTGGAGCGCGCTCTCCGCATCCTTGTCCTGCAGGGCGCGCACATCATGCTCATGTCCTTTTGCCCTGACGATGGGGGTGACGGTGTAGCGCGCGTCCTTCACTGCGAAGAAGCCCTCGAGACCTCCTCCGCAGAGGTTGAACACGGCCAGGGACTCCGGGTTGGAGTTCACGGTCCCGCGGTACACGCACTCCCTCTGCAGAGGCGCAGGGCTCTGTCCCATCATGGCGAGCACATACTGGGGGCTGAAGTGATGAGACAGCACCGACTCGTCTCGTTCCATGTCCAGCTGAAAGCGGCTCTCATCCAGGTACACCAGGTAGCCAACCCTCCCTCCCCCGTGGTAAATCCGGTCAATAGTCCGCACAACCCCGTCTGTCCTCCGGGCAGGTGTCAGAGGCGAGCCGCTCGCAGGTGGAAGATAGAAACCCTGGAAAGTGGCAAGCCCGGCTTCCAGCTCCAACTCCACGACGCACAGCAGCAGTAGCCGAAACCAGAGCATGCTCCCGGTCAGAGCACCCAGGAGCTGCACCATTGTTCATTCCAACGTGACAAACATCTACGAATCCACTAAAACAAACCTGGACCAGAGGAGAAGACAACTTTGAGTGCTTGTTCCTCCAAAATGCGCATCCTCTCGGTGTCCACAGCTCTCATCCAAAAGCACACAGCATTCACCAACAGGGAGGCAAATAAAACCATAAAGGAAGAAAAAAAAACCCAAGAAAAAAACAGAAAAAAACAGAAAAGGGAAGAAAAAAGAGCAGCAGAGAGGAACTGTGCGCAGGCTGGAGAGCACCGAGCTGAACTTGGAGAACAAAAACACAAAGTTTGCTCTTAATAGGACCCGGAGAGGAAAAAGTCCTGCCCCCTTTTGCGCTCAATCACCATTCCTCCACCCCCCTCCTCTTTTCTCTGTCTCTCGCTCTCTTCCTCAAATCAGAGTAAAGTCAAGTGCTGGAGGAGAGGAGAGGAGGGAAACCGTAACAATGCTGTCACTGGAGGATTTTCTGTTGCCTCAGCAAAGGAATGAGGAGGCAGTTATTATCTTTAAGTCACTCGTGGCTGTGAAGAAATAATGAAAATCTAAAACTTATGCATTCATCAGTTTTAAGTTTTCAACGCCAACTTCCAGTTTACATTAAAAACTTCACCCAAAAAACAAAAAACCAAGTTGCTTCTCCCCCCCCTTAAAGTGAACTCCGACACCCCTCCATTAAATGCCAGCCTGTTATTTTTAACACTTTTACCACTTTGACTACTTTAATAATTGAAGGGCGGCAGGATTTGAAAGGAGACTTTCAAAAAACTTAAAGCGGAATAGATAATTTATGGCCGCTCCTGAATAAGAACTCTGGGAGTTCACTGTTCCCCGTGTGAGAACATTTAATGCTGTGTGTGTGTGTTTGAGGAGGAAACGGAAGCAATGGAGGGAAATCTGTGAGCGTGCATACAGTAGGTGCTGTATTGCTCCAACTGGTTCTGAGAATGTAAAGGTGGTGGGAGAGGAAAAAAAGCGTGTGTGTTGTGTGTTGTGTGTGTGACTCTGCAGGTGTGTGGCTGTGCCCGATACTGCCCCAGGACCTGTCTTGATTATTTATTGTACCTTTTCAGGGGCCTGGAGTGTGTGTGTGTGTGAGTGGTATTGCAAATGGGATGTCATACTTGTGTGCTGAGAGGGATTTAGCCTCTTGCTGGGGCTGAAGTCACCACGTCTCACTCATCCACAAACAAACATGCTCTCAGAGGGCAGCCAAACAGGAGAGAGGCTTTTCTGAAAAGAAAAGAAAAAAAAAGTCTTCCAAGACACTGCTCATTCGCTGACTCACCTAACAGCTATTACCTTCACACACCAGCGAAGGGGGAGGTCAGTGTGTGTCTGTGTGCTAAGAGGAAGGCCTCTCTTCGTGGATACACTCCCCCCCCCTCCTACTTTTCTTCCTTCTCTGTGCAGAACTTGAGAACAGATATTACATTTCAACTTTGCTGCGTCGGACGGTGAGAGAGCATGTCAGCCCTCCTAAAGAGCCATAATCCAAAAGCTTGCTGGACAACTGAGTGGTGTGGGCAGTGCTGGCTGGCACGCAGCTGTGTGATGGGGGTGGGGGTCGTGTGGGTGGACAGCGGAAACTCGGCCCAAAATGGGAACACAGTGCACCGCCACCATAAACCCTGGAACACCCCCTGTCAAATCCCGCCATGGTACGATCCACATTTGAACCAAACATCCCACACGGAGGAGCGCTTTACTTTCTAAAACTTGTAAATGACTAACTTAAATATTTAGAGAATAATCACAAATTGTTACAAAGTGTGCAAAGTTGTGTGTTTAGTGGGGGCGGCTGGGTGGGGGACTTGGGCTCGTGACCTCCTCATATCTTTGTTACGGCTCTGCTGCTGAGTGTTAAAGCCTGTGCTATAGAGTCCCACAGACCTGAAGACAGCACCACCACTGCTCAGCGGATCCAATATCAAGCTCAACTTCACGTGCAAATCACCCAGCTGTTATGCAACCCCCCCACCCTTTCTCTCCTCCCTGTCCTCAAGTTTCATCTCGATTCCCCCTCCAAGTGCTTCTACTTTACACCAAGCTGTCAAGAGTATTGCGGCAAAAAGTGTGTGCATGACTATAGGATCTTTGATACAAGCCGGACCGTCAGTGCTCGCGTGGCTGAGAGCTGTCTATTTCCAGTGTATCTGCAAGTCAACGTGTCGGAGATGTGACTTTTCCTGTAAGTGCATGGGCAGGGTTTCAGATATCTAGTCCCGGGAAGTAATGTGGCCAAAATGTTTAAATTTTTTAAATACGTGTGATGAAAAAGTGCTGCAGCTGCGAGCTGGTGGCAGTGAGCCTGAGCAGAAACGAACTTTTTCTCCAGCATCTTTCAAAGCATTCAGTGAAACAACGCACAGACACATGCTTTGGCTCACATCCTTGCAGCGTCCTCCTCTCTTCTTCCCTCCCTCCCTCTTCCTCTCTCCTCTTTTGAATCTCACACACTCAGCCCACTGGATCATTTTTAATCCACATCATGTGAAACAGAGACGTATGCCAAAGCAGCCATACAGACATAAACCCTCCCCCGTTTTCCCTGCACACACACACACACACACACACACACACACACACACACACACACACAGTTACATAGTAACCCGGATCACATGTGCAAAAAGAGGCTGCATTCAGTTTTGCACGTCACCAAAACGAGATGTGTGTGTTTGTGAACCCTTCGTGCTGAGCCACGTGTGTGTGGAGGACCAACCCGCTTCCTCTGGTGGCTGTGAGGGGAGGGACTCCAATACAGTTAATTGACAAACCGAGCCTTTTACATAACTGCCGGACTCTGTCTAAGTGCTGCTGTCTGAATTCCTCCCCACCCGCTGCTGCTCTCCCTCCCTCTTTAGTCTCCATGACACCCTCTCCTCCTCCTCACACACACACTCCATCTCTCCTTGACTTCTATCCTTTCACGGATGTTAAACCAGCAATTCGCATCAGGATGAGGAGAACACTAATCATGGCATTTGTTCCTTTTTCCTCCACCTCTCTCCTCACTTCTTCGCCTCCGCTCGTCCACCCTCCTTGTAGAAGCCAGGTGTGGCCTCAGCATCTGTTATCGCCCCACTGAGGGAGACCGCGACGCCTCCCGGGGCCTCCCGGCGACACACCTGCACGCACACACACGGCTTGTCACACGAACTGAATTAAACAGTCGACACAAATGCTCATGTCCACAATGTTTATATATATATGTATATTAATATATAGTCATTTAGAAAAGAAAATAACAGTACAGATGGAGGATTTCAAAATAAAGAGGCACATGCATACACTTGTAAACAGAGATGATGACACACTTGGATCAATCTGAAGTCAATCAGAAAGACATCCAGGTTTGAATGACAGCAGTTTCAAGTTTCCATAAGAGTCTCTTTATATCTTCGAACATACTGCATTTGAACACATCGCAATTGCTCAAGAAGAAGCGTTTCCAGTGAAGAACAGGTTGTGTCCTAAAGCACATTAAGTTACTGGAGACGTCGCCTCCACTAGGCTGAACGGTGATAGAAAAAAGAAAGGAAGGAAAGTAGAGTGTAAATAATTAAAACATATTCTTGATTTACATTTCAAGTCCAAACATAAGGAACTGAAGTTGTTCAACTAGGACACATTCCTTCATCGCACTCCTGGTGTTAGTTTTCTATGTCGTAAACATATCTCTACTATCATTTACACGCTGTCTTCAAAGAAGTCTACTGCGTTCACACGTTAGAGCCGCAGAGAAAATCACAATAAAGAGGTCGGAGAACTAAAAACATTTCAACTCAAAAGTGATGTACAAAATTAAAAAATAAAGTCAGATATATTTTTCTGACAAAACAGTCGCAGCAGCAGTACTGCAGTACTGCATGCTGGCTGTATGCATGTTTCCCTGCAGTGCACAGCTGTCTAAATAATGCCTCAAATCTTTATAAAAACTGCACAATTGCAACAGGAAGTAACAAAAACCCCCAAAACAAAAACAACAGTAATGAACTTTTTTAACAACAAAGACGTGTGATGGATAAAAACCGATTGCTGCACTTGATCTCAAGCACTTGTGCGTTGGCAGCAATAAAAAGGACTTGACTGAATGTCTTCTCTACTTGGTCTGAGGGTAAGACGTGTTATGATCCATTCAGATGTCATGATATTGCCATCACAGAAGGTGAAGCATGAGAAAAAAAAACAACCCATCCCTATAAATTACTGCATAACACGCCTGACTCATGGAGTCATTTCAGTTTATACCTTCACCCCAATGAATCGATGCACTCTTTTAGTGGACTCCAAAGCAAAGCAGTCATGCTAACGCAAACAGTAATCTCTCAGGCTCTCATAGAGAGTATAGCTCTATGTATGTATGACTGCTGGCAAATAAAGGGAACATTAGTCCTGCGCGCAGACAGCCAGCAGAAGCTATAATTATATGGTCCTTAATTACATGAATAAACTGAGACAACAGGAAAAAAAACAGGTAAAGAGATAACATGATTCAAAGCCAGAAGGGTGTGCTGTTTTACAATAACCAGCTCTGGCAGGCAGGGTGTGGGTCTGGTGCAAAAGATTAAACAAACTGTGTCCCAGTTCAGGGCTGGACCCTCTGTAGAAAGCTCCAACCTGAAGAAACTACTCCAATAGCAGCTAGATGGTGCGTTCAGGTAGGTCTTGTTTAGTTTTGTTTACTTTAACTGACGTTTTCACTGAACTAATTCAAAATAACCTTCTAAAGTTAAATATGTGGAAAATATATCAGCTTTATCATCTGAATGCTCCTGTAGATGAAGGCTGTTGTAGATGACGTGGATGTCCTCTGAATCCCTTCAGAGAGCCCATAATTGAAGGATCACCTTTTGAGCTGATTACAACATATTTAGTCAACAAGTACAGACTGATGAGGATCCAGCCCCTCTGTTGGTATCCAGCAGTATTAGCTTTAAAGTTGACCCTCCGGCCTGACACACCCGACTGACCGAGCAGCAGCCACTGTTACATTGTTGTCAAGTGTCTGTCGGGTCATCTTGTCCTAGATGATTTCTTTTAACGGTGCCTTTGACTTTTCAGTGAGAGGCAGACTGGGGCTGGAGGGGATCGCTGACTGGTTGGAGAGGTGGTGGAAGGTCAGTGACGGGGTTTCAACGGGGCTGCACAGGATTTGGAAGCGCTGCGGGATAGAAAGGTTGCAGTTAGTTGACTGTGGATCAGCGTCATTAAAGGCACAAGACAGTTTCACATCCAACAGCAGGAAAAA